ACTGGGTTACAGCCCCACCCCCAAAGGCCTAGTCCTAGCCCAAGCCCCTGCCTGATCTCAGAAACCCTGGATCAGGCTGGTGTGTGTCCAGCCTGTCCTCAAACATAGGCTGAGCTAATGCCCTCTTGTCTCATTTTTGGGGTTAGATTTTGGGTTTTATTGCTCATTTATTTGTGACAGAAACCATATTTATCTGCCATTGGTATGCAATCCTGTGTAGGTTTCAGGAGTCCAGCTTTATACACTGTGTGTATAAGGTATCAGCCAGTCTTTATCACACCCCCATTTATTTGACTGAAACAATCCCACGGCTGGGTTCTTGCTTTTTTCCTGCTTTGCCTCCTCTGATCTTTTCCCCTTTTTCTGTCTCTCTTTGCTCACATACTCGCACACGCTCGCTCTCTTGAAGTGGGGGAAGGGGGAGCAGAGAAGTTGGCAGAGAGAAGATCATCAATATTTAATTTTTATGGAAATCATGTCCTAGAAATCCCCAAAGGGCTGAAAATTGTTCTGTGTTTTCAGAAGCCAGTGATGTTGCTGAAGCAGTTATGTTGTAAATAAAACCACATTTACTGTCTGCAGCTCTCCCGTTGTGCTGCAAACACCCAGAAACTTGACAGTTTAATCCACTCAAGGAAGCGAAAAGGTTCAGGGTCACTGAAGGGGCCAGCCTCCCCCAGCCATAGGATGGAGGATCATGAGGCCTCGACACTGTGGTATTCCTGCAGTGGGGACACTGAGGTACAGCCACGTGGAGAGACTTACTGTGCTCTGTTTTTTTTTCTCATCTGGGGATCCTGGTGTTGGGGAGCATTTGCTTAGAGGTACCGGACTTTTGGAACTCATTTATAGACAGGGCACAAGTAATCAAATACAACTAAAGACTCATTCTCTATATTCAGCAGCTTTTTGGACTCTTGGGATCTAGAAAGAATGTTCATTCCCTTTATTTCATTGAACAGATTCCTTGCACACATTTATTAGGCATCTACCATGTTCTGGACACTGTTCTGGATGCAGCAGGACATCCCAGTTACTTCACACTCTTGATTGCATGCTTATGGATAGAGGCCGACATTTAACCAGATGAACAAGTGAAATAGGCTAAATGGTGATAGAATCATTGGAGAAAAAAATAGAAGCAAGAACCTTAGCTATTTAGTCATGAGATGAAAATTATTATATACTTGTCTAGTTCAAAATATTCATTTGTGGAACATTCCATGACAACTTTATTTGTCATGGCTAGAAACCAGAAATGGATCAGGTATCCTCTACCTGGGCCATTTCTAGTGGCCAGTTGGTATAGCCACCCATGGAATACTACTCAACCATGAAAGGGAATAATCTGGGGCCAGGAGATGACTCAAAGTTCTAGAGTGCATGCCATACATCCCCAGCACTGTGTGGTCCCCTGGTAATACCCCTTGAGCACTACTGGGTATTATTTCAAATCAGTAAAAGAGGACAGTCTACTAGCATGCCATCTACATCAATGTGGGTGGATTGAACAAATACATTCTTGAATGCAAGAAACCAAACACACAAAAGTATATATGGTTTGTACCCAGTGATTCTGTTCATAGGACATTCTAGAAGAACTCAAATTAACTGATGGTGGAAATCAGAATTATAGCTGCTTGGGGGTTGGGAGGGCTGACTAGGAAGGAGCCAAGGAATGAGGTGAAGGGGAATGCCATAATCTTTTTATGCATTTATCCAACTGAGTGAACAGTCAGTGGCAAGCTTTAACTCAGCAAAACAAAGGAGAAAACCCAACAAGAAAGTAGGGTACCTCTGTGAGGACAGGAGTGGAGTTGCAGTGAGGTAGAAGAGATTCGGAAGGTCTTTGGGAGAAGGTGACTTGTAAGGGAGGCGAAAAGTGAGTACAAAGGTCCTGGTGTGGGGCTGAAGAGATAGTATAGCAATTAGGTACTTGCCTTACACACAGCCTAACTTGGTTTAATTCCAGATATCCCATGTGATCCCCCACACCCTATGTGATCCCTTTTGGCCCAAAAGACAAAACCAAAAAACATTAAGAAACAGAGGCCCCAAAGTGGCCTGGTGAGCACCCCTGTCTGTGTGTCTGTCTCAATATTTTCTTATAAGGACATCCATCTTATGAGATAAGACCCCATTTTCATGTAATTGCCTTAAAGATTTGATCATTACCAATGCTCATGCACCTTAGGGATCTAGTTGGTTAGCACAGTCAGGGTTTGCAGAAGTATCAGGGAGACTGGCGAATGCCACAGGACAGGTGCTGCAAGTTCTGATGCCCATTGTGATGAAGGTATGGGTCTGGGATGAGGCAGGACCAGACCTACCTCATTTGTGGTGGACGAAGGATAAACAGCTGTGGTTGAGCCTGGAGACTGCGGTTCTTGCGATTCCTTTGCAGTAATTGAAAGAATGTGCTTCCAAAAGCCACTGGTGACCTGACCTTCCATTGGGGATGAAAAACAGTTTGGGGTTCCAGCAGCTGAAGTCCAGTGCGAGAGGGCACTGCAGCCCAGACAGGATGGGCACCCTGGGAGGGCGTGACTGGTGCCAGGGTTAGGGCTCTTTTGATGTCCCTGAATCTTTAAAGCTGTTCTTTTCTTTTATCTAGACAAAAAGCCCAGGTGTTCTAACCAATAATGGAGCTTCAGGCCTTTGCTTCATTCTGAGCTTTGGTGGCCTGGGGAAAGAGGAAAGAGTGAGGAATTTTAGGAAGCAACACTCGGGTACACGCTGAGTGTCAGGAGAGTAGTCAGAGATCTAAGAGATCAGGAAATAGGGGAAACATACTCTGTGGACACTGCACAGGGCCTTTTCCATCCACCTAGTGGCTCCGTGAGATGGAGGTGCCCCCCGTGTTACAGACAAAAGCATCAGGATCTGGAGGCGGCTTTGCCTGCCCAGACTGCCTCCGATCATAAAGTCTAACTGGCACAGGGCTTTGAGTCCAGTGCTGCTGGATTCTGAAGCTAGTGCTTCCTTTACTCCACAGTGCTTCTTTTCTGGTCTCTGAACACAAAACCCTGGCCAGGAACACCCAGAATCACTACCTACCCCTTTAACTGCCCTTGGGAAGATTTACCTCTTAAGGCTTTTCCAGGAAAAATGTAAACATAGATATGCCATCCTCACTGCCCCTCATATACCAAGGGAAGCTACCCCAAGTGCCAGGGAGAGGAGAGAGCCTCGGATTCTGCCTACAGTCTGTCTCATAGAATATGTCCAATCTATAGAGGGAAACACTAGGATTCTTCCCTAAGGCAACCTACCTTGCTTATGTCCCCACTGAGTGCATCTGAGACTTATCCAGTTCCAAAGGGAGCTCTGAGTGCTGCAAGTAGATAGTGCTGCAAGATTGTGTGTGAACAGTTGTGCGTATGTGACTATGGGGTGTGGGGCACGCCTCTGTGCAACACTGTGTATAAGAAAGTGTGTGTGTGTGTGTGTGTGTGTAGGTGTGTGTAGGGATATGGAGGGGTGTGTATCTGAGAATAGTGACAGCATCTTTTCAGCCCCATGTGAAATCTCAGTGATAAGTGAAATGGGCCTGGTGAAATTCCCAGCAGAGACAAAGCTGCCCCTGAGCCTTAAAGCTTGAGGGAGGCAGAAAAGATGGTCCTGGGGTTGCTGAACATGGAGGAGAGAACAGGCCTGTGCTTCCAAGAATCACCCTAGCCTCAGGGCTGAGTCCAGCGGCTCTTCCCCTGGCCCCCTCCTAACAGACCCTTCATCTCCTTCCCCACTCCCCACCCAGCAGTGCTTGCCCTCCCTTGGCCAGGACACAGGGGTACCATCTATTGTCTTGTGAGCACTGCTCCAAGATCCTTGGCTTTGCCAAGCCACGCTGAGAAAACAGTACTGATTTTCTCTTATTTATTTATGAGGTTTTGCTCTGAGCCCCAAATGAAAAGGTTTCTGCATTTTCCCCAAGCACTGAGAAGCTCTCCCCACCCACTGCCTGCCTCCCACACACATACTCCTTCATTACTCTCAGCACACTCCCCCTCCAGAGACCTGGCTCTTATCTGCAGATGCAGGGAGGGGCAGATGGGAAACAGAGACCAGTGTCCCCAGGAGAGCCCAGTGAAGAGACAACATTCCACAGCTGAGGGGGAGGGATCCCTGAATGCTTTGAATACCCTTCAGGGCTAGAAGACCAAGGGAGGCCATTGCTCTGTGAAAGCATCAAGGGGTGCCAGGCACTTTGTACCCGTCTCATCTGAGACCCCAGAACAAACATGTAAGGAGGACTGTGTGACTGTCCATGGTGGAACTTGGGTTCATTGCCATGCTGGAGGTGACCTGGCAGAGGTCAGCTAGTATAACACCTCGGATTCATGTGAGGCCTCTGTCCTGTGTGGCTCTAACTCCCCAGAGGAGAGCAAGGAGCTTGACACACATTTCAGGATAATTCCCCTCCCCTGACCCTGGCATTACTTCTCTGTTATCTGGGAGCGCCTGGGACATAGAGCACATGGAGGATCCCCTTTACCTCCCACCTTAGAGAAAGGGTTGTGGGAAACTGTCCCGGAATGTACCAGCCAGCGCCTGGGATGGGGTGAGTCTCTTGGCAGCACTGTGGCTGGCCAGGAGAGCCAGCAAGGACTCCACACCTCAGTCAGGCACACAGTCAGCCAGGAGAAGATGTATCACATTGACTCCCAGTTGCCTATTCCCATATTCATGCCTACAATCCCCTGCTTGAGGCATGCAGGTCTGTCTACTCAACCCTCAGGCCACCTTCAGGAATATCCAGGTCTAGGTCTGCTTCTGGTGTGTGCACAAGGCTCGCCCCTGCTGGAGCTCACTCCACATCCTGGCTACTGACTTTTCACTCACCCCTGTGAGCTACGAGCCAAGCTGGGTCTCCCCTGGCCTGGCGCTGACTGGATGTTAGCCCTGTGGCTCCCTCATGTTTGGAGCTGAACACCAGCCAGCCTGGCCCTCGCTCCTACCTGAGACACTTCTTTGCTTCTCTTTCTCTCCCTCCCTGACAGGAGTTTCCCTTGGCCGTGCTCAGGGGCTGGGAGTGCTACTGTGCTTACCCAACCCCCGAGTTTAGCCTGCAGGATGCTGTTGATGGTGTGCTGTGCAGCCAGGAGCCAGAGGCCCAGAGACTGGCAGAATACTGCCAGGTCTACCAGACGCCCGTTCAAGGTGAGTCCTGCCTGCGGGTGGGTCACCCCACCCCTGCAACCGCCACTGGGTGTGGCATTGGGTCTTTGACCAGGAGAATTACCAGGGTTTGGAAACGGCAGCTGTGGCTGTGTGTGCCATCCTGGCACAGGGAGGGTGACTGCATAAAAACCCAGAGTAATGGATGGCACCATCTCAGCATATGCTGAGTGGTAGGCCTCTGCCATACCTGGTGGCTGGTCCCAGCACCTCCTACCTCCCCTTTGTCTTTCTGGGGAGGAAGGTGACACCCTGTGTCTTTCTGGGGAGGAAGGTGATTTAAGAGAGAACAGAGAAGCAGGGTCGAGCAGGAGAGCAGTGGCCAGGGATGAGGCGGAGGCCGGGAAGTGAGTGCTAAGTCAGCCCAAGGGCCTGAGAACCAGGGAACTTCCAGGCTGTGCCAAACCAACCCCTGTCCTTGTCTGAGCACCTGCCCCACCACCACCCCCCCACCGACTTGTGGGAAGTGGTGAGGGGTGAGGGGATTAACAGGAGAGAGACATTCACCTTTATTCAGTGCTACCACTCCCCTCATAGCCCTGGGGCTCAGGGCTTCCCCCTAATTGCAGGTGATCTGGCACTAGCCTGGCAGTAGCCTGGTGGGGCAGACAATGAGGCGGGGATGTGACTGGATTTGCCTGATCTGGTTCCCTGTTGGTGTTCCGTGTGTGGGGACCTGCGTCAGCCTTCAGAATCTGGAGTTCTCTCTGCCTTTCTGGGAACCAGGGGTTCAGCTACAGCCACGGAGGCCCTCAGAACTGACTGTCCCCAGACATGATTCCCACTTGACCATTTACTGGGATACCGGAAGCCTCATCATCATGGGCCTCACAGCTGCTGCAGCTGAGATCCCGATGACAGTGCCATGCCCCACTTTGGCCCCCATCTCTGCGGGTCAGCAGTCCCTAGGGAGGGGACCAGTGCTGAGTCTGGTAGTGACCGTCACAGTTGGTAATACTAAGCCATCTTGTTTTCTGGGCTTGCAGACACTCGCTGCACCGACAGGAGGTTCCTGCCCACCAAATCCAAAGTGTTTGTGGCACTGTCGAGCTTCCCAGGGGCTGGAAACACGTGGGCACGGCACCTCATCGAGCACGCCACTGGCTTCTACACCGGGAGCTACTACTTTGATGGCACACTCTACAACAAAGGTAAACAAGGCTGTGAGGCCTGGGCCCCTCTGCCATGGAGCTGCAGGGACACGGGAGCAGGTCCTGAGACATACTTGGAGGCCTTGTTGAATCCAGTGATATGCTGGACCACGCACACTTAAGGGAGTCTGATGTAGGGGTTCAGATATGGGCCTAGGACTGGGCATGTCTAACAAGCTCCCAGGAGCCTCCAGGTACATGGAATAAAAGAGAAAGTGCCTGTGAGTTCAAAATGGGGTGGAGGGTTAGGACATGCAACATGTTTGGTGACTGAAAGCCACCTCCAAGACTTTTTCAGCAGAGAGATAGAGATGGGGGACCACAGATAGATGGTAAAGTGGCTCATTTATTGTAGAGCTGTTAGCATACTTATAGAATATCTGAAGGGGGTCGAGATCCAGGACTGTATGTAGGTGTGATTGATCATTTACAGAGGTAAAGCATTGGGTGGAAGCAATTCTTTTGGTGGGGATTAACTCAAGGAGATGCTCTGTCTCCCAGGGACATATATATTGCTTTTCTCTTTCCCTTTAGTTATACATATTAAACAGTTAAGTTTACTTCTTATTATTACTTGCAGTTATTTGGATAAACACAGTAAGAGATATAAGTTCCAAAACGTAGTTTTCTGGGCTCTGAGGGCAAGAAAGACTTTTTACCATAAATCCCATACTGAGTCCTCAGGCCAGTTCAGCATGTTGTTCCCCATGGGAGTCCTGTCTCTTAAGTCACAACAGCTTGCATCAAGACCATGCATTTATGCTTTCTAGAGTGTCCGATTTCAATGCCGAGGTAGCTTTGCCACTTGCCCTGCATCCATCCCATGGTGGAACCTCCCTTTTGGGCATTAGGAACTACAGCAACTGAAGCCTGAGTCAAGTAATTATGATGGATGCCCAGGAGTAGACATATTTCAGAGTCAATCAGCTCCCAAATAGTAGGAACATAGCATTAACGGTCTTTCTGTGTTTAAGCAAAGAACCTGGCTTTATAGTAAAATATGAAAAGGCTATGGGGGAAATAGAAAAGCAAGTAATTTACACAAATACAAAGTCCAGAATTACCAGAAAGTTTTGGCTAGTAAGTAACCAAGACAGACTTGGGGAATTGTGACAATGAGAAGTAAAATGCAAAGTAAAGGTTAAAGATAAACTCAGAGGATTAGGGATGCTCAGAAGAGCACTGTAAGTTTCTCTGTGGGGAGGAGAAGGGACAATTCACTGATGAAGCCTGAAACACTTAGGGTTAATATCCAACAGTGCCTATGTCAAAATAGAGGTTGGAGACCTTCTCTATCAACATTTACGAATTTGTCTTAGTTTCAGGTCTCAATAGTCACGTGGGACTGACTTCATCTGCTCATTTATTCCTTTATTTGATTTTGAGGCAAAGGGTAGCTGATCCAAATGCTGATATAAAAAATAATGTCCAAAATTCTTCAAGAGTTTTTATGATTTCTAATCTTTGCCTTGTAGAAATAAGAGGCCTCATTATGCCAAGTAAATGCACTTAAATGTCTGGAGTCTGCATGCTGTTTATGAACTAAAATCTTCAGACAAGTCAAGTGGAATCTAAATTTGGTGAAATATATTTTTCTGTTGTCAAGTGTTACAGTGTTTTCTCTGGATTTCATCACTAGAGTTTGGCTTAGGAAAAGATGATTGATAGTTTCAGTAAGGTCTTAGGGAAAATGGAGACTTACTGAACTTCAAAGTGAGTTCTAGAATCATCCACAGATAGGGGGAGGGAAAGGGCAGGTTAAGATGGTCTGTATAAGCCAGCCCTACAGTCTTTGGGAGTCTGGGCATCATAAGAAAGTGACAGATGAAGCCCAGGGTCCTGTGACTTGGTCTCCTGCCCTGAAACGTATGCACTATGCCCAGACTGCAGTTACCCTCCAGTTCATCTGGAAGATCTTTGCCTTAGTTGAGCAACTACATTGATCCACATGACAGTAGGTGATCAGTGACAGGATTAGGCTTCAATAACAGGTGTAAGGGCTGGCATACTCTGCCCCACTTTACCCAGTGTGTCTTGGAGCTTCATAGGTGTAGCTGGTTAGATATAACTACTGGCCTCAGCACAGTGAAGCATGAGTGTGAAATTCTTAAGGCAGCCCCAATGGCAGAACATCAAACCTATCATATACATCTGTGATCCAAATCACAAAGAATAGCAGCTGTCATTGAAATGAGCCAAAATGGTATAAATGGTGCCCTGGGTCTCAGGTTAGCAAAGACTAGATTTCTGGTTCACACAGTCTGTGGTTTGAGCTATTCATCCCAGATATTTAACAAAATGAGTCAAAACAGACTTCTGTTGTTTGACCAGTGGCAGAGTTGAGCTTGAAACATTTGTTGCTTCAGTGAGTGAACCCAGAATTCCAGATTCCAAAGTGGCTTGCATTTTCCAGGCATCAGAGTCCCTCCCTGCTGGATGTGGATATCCATGTTTCCTAACATCAAGAATGGAGGTGCAGTAGATATGCATGTTTCCTAGCCATCAAGAATAGAGCCAAGGTAAACTGAGCATGTATTCAGATGTCCCCAAAGCTACATGGCAGTGGCCTAGAGATGAGCTTCAGGGGGCATCTTTCCAGGAAGCCCTTTGTAACATCTTGCTCCATCCCTATGGTTGGTCCCCTGTTCTTTGTTTCCATAAAGCCCTGTGCTCTGAATTATACATGAGTGCTGGGACTGCCCCTATTTAACAGGCTTGAAGCAGGGACACCTCTAGGATTAAGAAAAGAGAAATAAGAGGAAAAAAACCCTCAGGATTAGGGAGCTAATAAATAGCCTTGTGGACGGAGAGCACCAACTGTCCTCCAAATACAGTATTCATTCTTAGAACCTCTAATCACAAAAAAAAAGAATAACAACATTTATTAGTCAAATACCTATCTTACGTATCTGAGGATCTTACTATATGGTAATCATCATCTTTGTAAAGGGCTTTTATGACTGTAATTCCTTCCAAGAAAGTAGATATAGGAGCCCCACCGCCTGGGGCAGCATACCACCTCAGACACCAGCTTTATGGACTGAAAGGTCTCCTAAATTACCCTCCCTGTCTACCTATCTATCTATCTATCTCTCTATCTAGAACAAGCACACTGTCTTCCCTGAGAAGCATGCAGATTCTATGTATAGACATGTAGGAATTCATCTGTGCACTTGCTGTAGGTCCAAGCCCTAAAGTCAGAGGTTAATCTCTTGACCTTAATAATAGGAATCTGGGCTTGAGCAATAGCACAGCGGATAAGGCTTTGCCCTTGGCTGATCTGGGTTCGATTCCTCAGCCCCTATCGGAGAAGCTACAGAGAGTATCTTTCCCGCACGGCAAAGCCTGGAAAGCTACCCATGACGTATTTGATATGCCAAAAACAGTAACAACAAGTCTCACAATTTATTGTTAGACATTACTGGTGCCCGCTCAAGCAAATCGAAGAACAAAGGGAGGACAGTGCTACAGTGCTACTTGTATAGATGTGTTGTTTCAACTCCAAGAAAGTAGTCTGAATTCAAATAAAAAAATAAAAATAAAAATAATAGGAATCCTCCTCCTGCTGTGGGAAGGTAGGTAGAAACTGGGGACCTCACCAGGCTATACAGATCCATGTGGAGAAATCTTGGGTCAGTTACTGTAGTGTTTGGATAAGCTCCCTACTCATTTGGGCCTTGGGTTCCTCAACTGGCTAGACGCAAGTGGTTAATTCATGGGTTTATTTGTGATGTTTTCACCAAGTCTCCATCAAAATCCCCAGGGTATGCATCTCCACTGTCTGCAGTGGGGCATGTGTAGGCCCTCTTCCTTTTGTCTTCTGGTCTGAGGAGGTACCTTGTCTCTTTCTTTTACAGACATTGTCCTTACCCACTCTCTGGGACAGAGGTCAGTCCCATACGGGCTGCTCCTCTCAACCTTCTCTAGGTCCTTCTACTGCAGTGACCTCTACTGTGTGTCCATGGTCTCTCCAATACCCCCCAATTCTGGCTTCCTTTGGGATGCAGGTTCTCATTCACATCTGTCCACTGCCATTGCACTGGGAGCCCATGGCACCTTCTTCCAGTGGGAACCTGTCCTTTCTCTCTGGCAGGGTTTAAGGGTGAGAAGGACCACTGGCGGAGCCGGCGCACCATCTGTGTGAAGACACATGAGAGTGGCAGGAGGGAGATTGAGATGTTTGACTCAGCCATCCTGCTGATCCGGAACCCGTACAGATCGCTAGTGGCCGAGTTCAACAGGAAATGTGCCGGGCACCTGGGCTATGCAGCTGACCGTAACTGGAAGAGCAAAGGTGGATATGAGTGACTAGTGGGGTGGGGTAGGAATCATCATCGTGGCTTGAAAACCCCTGGAGATGCAGGACCAGCACCCTGGGCAGGGTCTCAGGCCCATCCTCTTGGGGTCTCTCTGCCCTGCCTGGTTTGCCCACTCCTCCTTTCCTCTGTCTCTGAGCAGGTGTTTTCTGGGATACATGACTTATTGTCAGGAAATGCCCCTGGAGGATCTACCCCCTTTCCTATGCCTGCTCACCTCCAGGAGGAGCTCTGGGAAGACCCTAGTCCTTGCATTTAGAGACTCCAGGTTTGCATCTCCTCCGACTGTAGGACCAATTTCCTCCTTTACAACAGGAGGCAAAAGCTGACACTTCAAGAGGAGTCAGGTTCTCAAGATCCCACATGTATGCCTGGACCTGGAACTTGGACCAGCTGACCCTATGCAGGGAGTAGGGGTGGGGGCTATGGAATCCTGAGCACTCACATGTCATCTCCTTCCACCTCTCATGGAGTCTTTATCCCAAAGGTCAGGCCCCCAAATGGCAGCCCCTCGAAGTCCTGTTTTCCAGTTGACACCAAGGGCCTAGCCATGGGGCATGCAGTCTAGGAGGAAGGTGGCAGTGTTAGCACTCAAGCTCAGTACTGTAGTCAGCCTGGGTTGTTTGAACCAATCACCATAAACTACATGAAGAGCAGTGATCATTTGTTTCTCACGCTTTTGGAGGTCAGAACATCCCCGATCAAGGTGCGGGCCAGTTTGATTTCTGGTGATGAATGTCTTCCTGGCTCGCAGCTGTCTCTGTATCCTCATATGGCCTTTCTCCAATATGTGGATATGGAGAGAGCAGGAGTTATGGAAAGATGAAGCAGGGAGAGATGAGGTCTTTCTTAAGGGCACTGATCCCATTACAGGGGACCCTGCTGTCATCGCCTTTTCCATCGCTAATCACCCCTTGAGGCCCCATTTCCAGACACTCACATTGGGGGTCTGGACTTTGACATCTGAGTATTTTCAATGAATACTGCCCTAGTTTTCTGATTCTGGCAGCTACCAGGGAAGGTAAATGAAGGTCACCACTGCCAAGTTCTACCATAGTTTCCCACCTCTCTTGCATGTCTCTGCATTGTAGCCTGAGACTGTGCTTAACCGCAACTGTCCCCTCCCAAGTACTGTCCAAAGGTCAGGAACTCATAGTCCATACAAGAGACAAATGGTTCTTTATATGCAAACTCCACAGTCCTCTTGACTTGGTGTATTTCTAAGAGAATAATTGGGGAAAGTAGGCTTGAAGCCCCTATCCCCAGGCTGACCCAGGGCATTTTTGAGCCCAGCTGGGTAGGAACCCTTTGTTCACAGGAAGTCACCAGAAGATCTTCCTGCCTGGAACTTGGACCAGCTGACCCTATGCAGGGAGTAGGGGTGGGGGCTGTGGAATCCTGAGCTTTATTGTCTTGAGTCCTTCCCAGATTGGGCCCTGACCCTACCCTCCTCCTCTCCTCTACCCCAGAGTGGCCAGACTTCGTCAACAGCTACGCATCCTGGTGGTCCTCTCACGTGCTGGACTGGCTCAAGTATGGGAAGCGGCTGCTAGTGGTGCATTACGAGGAGCTGCGGCGCAGCCTGGTGCCCACTCTGCGGGAGATGGTGGCCTTCCTCAACGTGTCCGTGAGCGAGGAGCGGCTGCTGTGCGTGGAGAACAACAAGGAGGGCAGCTTCCGGCGACATGGCCGGCACGCTCATGACCCCGAGCCCTTCACCCCGGAGATGAAGGACTTGATCAATGGCTACATCCGGACAGTGGACAAGGCCCTGCGTGACCACAATTGGGCTGGGCTGCCCAGGGAATATGTGCCCAGATGATAGGCCCTGGCTCAATGTTCCCGCCCACCCTGGGCTATCCCAATGCTAAGACACTCGGGCTGGCAGCTTCCTCGGACCCAGCACTGCTGCAGATGCTGCTGTATCCTGCAGAAGTCCCTTCAGGCACTGAACTCAGCCCTTTGCCCAGCACAGATTCACAGGACATACAGACAGCGCCTCTCTGACATGCTTTCCTGGCCCTCCACATGCACGGTGCCTACATCAACAGCTTCGACTTGCAGAGTCCCCTGCTCAGATAGCATAGGTTCTATGTGTATCCCAAAACTGGTGGCTGCCTCTCACACTCAGACATCCACCCTGGCTCTTGGAGGCCACTTCCAAATTTTCAGGCCAGAGGTGTGAACTTGCATGTCAGGGTGCCTAGGGCAGCTGGGAGCAGCGAGCATGGGGTGAGCTCTGGGACTGATGCTACTAGGCTGTGTGGTTCATGTCACATGAACATGTGACATGTCATAAATGCGTGTGGTGTGACAACCAAGCACCACTGACCCTGCAGCCCAAACCCCGTCTCTGTAGATGGGCTTTCAGCACCATCAGTGTACACACGTACACACACACACACACACACACACACACACACACACCAACCTCAAAATTTCACAAGTTCTTTGTATCCCCTTCCTACCCCCTGCCTCATTGTTTCTCCCAACCTTAGTGCTTCCAGGAGGGGACCTTTTCTTGCCTTGCCTCTTCTTCCAGCTGTCACTAGGAAAACTGGGCATTTATGCCATACTCCAGATCCAGGGAAGCCCTAGACGAAACTCAGAGGCCTGTGTGCCAGCCATAGCAGTTCTGATCTCTGGGGCCCACGCTGGGGTAATGCGGAAGGGGAACTGCATGGCTCCTTCAGTTAGACCCCAGAAAGAGAAGCTGAAGCCACAGCTTCTGCCTGAACTCCACTTTCTAAGCCTTCACTGACCCCCTGTGATACCCCCACCCACTTCCTGTCCCCATGCTTGCAGCTATCTGATGATCTCTGTCTCCTTGAGGCTGACTTCTCTCCCACTGTGCAACTGTTTCTTCAGGAGGGACATACACTCAGACTGCCTCCCTCCTGCCCACTTATTCTTTGGAGAAAGTGAAGCTGAAGCTGCCTGCCTCACCCCTGCCCCAGCTCACATCCCCTTGAGAGGTGGGAGAGGTATCAGAGAGGAGTATATGGACTCAGGGGCAGCCCATGTGCCTGGGGTCTTTATGAAAGAAGTCATAGTGACTTTAAGCTGTACTTGAGAAGGTGGAGGGATCATCCAAGCAAGGCTGAGCCGGACAGGAGAGACAGAACAACCTGTGCAGAGGCTCCAGGCTGGACACGTTGACGTGTTTTGCAGGAGAGGTGGGCCAAGGGAGGGGATGCTGAGAGGAGTCTGCACAGAAAGTGGGTGATTGAGAAAAGAGGTGGAGACACAGAAAGGGTCTCTGACCTTGTAACTCAGTGCTCAGTTTGGGAGCGAGAATGGGGCCAGTGACAAAGGTAATTGCCAACCAGGGCCACCCCCATGAATGTCGGGCTCAGAAGTGAGGATAGCAGCTTAGGCCTGGAGGGTACAATGGAGCTGGAAGCATGACTCAGGTGTAGAGATATAGGGAGATCATTGAACGCTCAGTTGTCCTCTGCTTTTGAGGAGAAAGGTGAATGAGCCCGAACTTGGCCAGTTCCTGGGCCTGTCTGCTGCTTCTCTGAGTCTTATATAACACTGAGGGAGTCCTGTAATCTTGTTCTGGGATAGCAGCAAGATCTTGGCTTGAGCTGCTTCAAGAAATAGTGGGGTAGGAATGGATTGGGAAAGCTGGATGTTGATGTCCTGCCCCCTGACTGATTGTGGAGAGCCAGGAGCTTTTCCAGTGCTCCCTAGTAGGACTGGCAGGGCTGGGGAGTAATAAAACGCCCTTCCTCAGAGGGATGCCCCCACCCCCATTTCGGTATTTTTGCCAATAAGTAGGCTTGAACATGTGCTCCCAGTGACCTTCTTGAGGTCTCTCTAGTCCAACACTGATGTCCAGTTCTAGATCATTTACACTTCAGCTTCACTTGGTACCACTCAAAGCTGGAAACACCAGATTCTTTGTACATGTTTTGGCAGAGGTGACTGCATGATCAAGTCGTGAAGCCAGATAAGTGTTTCTCTGGAACTGTTGTAGGAGGTATTGGGACCCAAAAGAACTTCCCACAGCTCTGAGGGAGGTCTAGGGATGCTTGCAGCCCAGAGAAAACCTGGAGTCTCAAAGAAAACCACAGCACCCAGGGCTCAGAAACAGGGCTCTGACCTTAAGACTCACCAGCTCTGGTCCTCATGCTCCCAGCCATCCAAATCATCTCTAGAAGCAGATTCAGAAACCATGCAGACAAGGAAAGGCTAAAGAGTGGTAGACCATAGCTCAGGAATGGTCTCTGGAATTAGAAGAGCAATGGAACCAACCTAATCCTCCTGATGGGTGGGTGGGCACCGTCCCTATGCCAGGGGCCCAGAGGCCTCTCCTCCCAGAGCCTAACTTCTTCAGTTTACAGTTCCCCTTGGCCAGGCATGCAGATAGAATGAAGGATGGGGCCAGGGTGCATCCATAGTGTATTTCATCTTTCTGTGTGACCAGTCACTTAGCACTTGGTTTATTTGTTGGATGAGCAAGGAGATACAAAGGCTCTGGTGTTGCTGCTGCTGATGGTGTTCTCAGCACCCATCATCCCAAGTGGCTCCTACTCCTGTGGGAGAGCTCAAAAGCAAAGAAAGAGAAATCTGTTTGTCTTTAGAGTAAGTCCAAATATGTCTGTTTTTGGAGTAAGTCTAGGTTAGGTCTTATTGATAGCACTCAGCCTTTCTTTAAAGAGAACTCTCCCAATCAGCCAGATCTGCCAATAGGGAAGAAGTATATGAAGTTCTTCAAAATCCTAAGTATCTACAGTGTCCAACTTTAACTCTGTAGTAAGGCTACAGAGTTACATAAACCTGTGCTAAAACATGTAATCTTCATGAATTTCATCTCCTGTTGTGGATCAATTTGGAAAGACCAAAATATATAATTTTTTAAAGCTAAAAACACATTTTGATCATCTCAGTTTTGTGTAAACGAGAGAAAAGAATAGACAGGCTTCCAAACCCTGGGAAGAAAGCTTAATTATGTGAGCATCTCATCATGAAGTCTCTTGCAGCTAAAATTAGATTTGGAGTGCATGAATATGCGATAATGTTTGCACACCAGAAGGCATTTTTCCCTTAAAAGTAGCAGGAGCCACTTGGCTCTTAGGGGGCGTCCCGAGAAGAAATGGGAAAGCTGAGGTGGATCCATGTGGCTGCAAGAATTCATGGGGCATAGGTTTGTTTTCTTTTGACTAAAAATTTGTTGGAGATATTTACAATCTGATGCCTCCTAAGAGGTCCATTCAAGTTTAGGAAAAAATTGAGTTGTCTGATTCCACATTTATCTCCACTCAATATTGGATGTCGAATAGAGTGGAGTAGTGTAGGATTTGCAAATTAAAGATCACATCTTAGCTCTGCTACACTATGACAGGGAACAAAGCCTTTTCTCTCTGGCCTCAGCTTTTCATCCATAAAAGTATGGGTGTGGTAGGTATTGTTGATTGAATCCCCAATGTTTATTTACCCATTTCCTTTCTCATAATCTTCTGATTTATGTTTGTGTTTATGCTTTGTCGAGGCTAACTTTATCATCGTTTCCAGGTGTAAATACATGATTCGATTCAGCCAAGAGACAGTCCATATCTGGCCACTGTAATTAGTTCTGCTATGTCGTAAGGCAATATAGCCAGAGAGGTTTTAAGGACTTTTTCTTGGAATATTGGATAGAGATTCTTTATTCACAGGTTAGCTGTGAAAGGGGAATTAGGCTGTCTGGAGTCTTGCTGGCCCCTCCTGGGGCCATGGAGGGGAGCCAGTCTCAACATGAAGCTGACTGTACTAGGAGATTCAAGAGAAAAGAAGATCTCAGTTCCTTGTGGCACTGTTGGAATACAGGCGCCTTGCCTGTGATTGGTCAGGGCCAATCCTCTGGACCTTTTGTTCACATGAGTCAATAAATTTCCTTTGTTTAAGTTGGGTTGAGTTATGGGTTTTTGTTTTAATTCATTTTGCTTTTTTCTACTTATAGCTCAGAGCACTAAATAAAGAGTTTGAATGGAAAAACCCTGGGACCCTGACATTCTCTGTCTCTGTGGCAGAAGGCAATAAAGATTGACACTGACCAGTATATACTGGAAGGATGGAGAATTTGTGTTTTATAGAAATGGAACTGAATGCGAAGTGTTTAAAAGGAAACCTTAGGGGTCATCCAGAACAAATAGCATTTTTTGAGTCATTACATGGTAAAGTCACCCATGTATCTTTAGAAAATAGTCTTCTGGATTCCTAAACTGAACCATCAGCTGTCCAAAATGTGATCTTTAGCAAACCCTTCTTTTTTTTCTACTTGACAGACTGGGATACCAATGACCTATTCTCGTCACTGTAACTACTTACATGGAGCAAGAATATGATATGCAATAGACAGGAATGCTTTTATAAGCTACTTAGATTGAGAGAGAGAGACTCTTCAAGAGCTTTTTTTGACAGCTTATCATCAGTAAACTGCCTTCTAATAACAATAAGTATGAGTAACTATTTTGGTTTGGCCCAGTGGGCCACGCAAAACTTTGGATGGTGCAACTGAGAATCTCCTCCCTGTCCTTTCTAGAAGAACTTTTTAATTCCTTCTCTACACTAGATATTAGAGGAATAAAGGGAGTAATACATGTACTCTAGGTCTCACTTTAGGAGAGCATGCCAGAATGGCAATATAAAATATGCAAATAAAGTCGGGGTGGGGGGGGTGTGGTGCCAACAGCAGGTTAGTCTGTACCTATGAGGTGAGTGCATTAGCAGCCTGATGGCGCTGTCAGACCTTCAGATACCCCAAAATTGCTTCTGTGCCTTTGGCCAGACTCCAAAAACTTGGGGCAAAGTTTACCAAGAAAGTAAATGGTCAAAAGTTAGGTATGTAGGGGACACACCCACAAACCACCTCTGACTCAGCTATATAATTGGAGGCATGGCCTCTCTGGTTCCTGATTGAACTGCTTAATGGCCATGATCCCAGAGACTCAGAAACGAATAAGTAGGTTACTGGCGCTGGGCCAACCAGGTGGGAATAGGTTTTGTGCCTTGGCCTATTCCCCCTGGTGGCCCGGTGGCCACCATCCTCCAGAGGTTGGACACTCTGGACAATCAGGTTTGGGCCTACAGTAATGAGACACGTGGAGCTTCACGGGATGTGGGTGAAACCGGCCCTTTCCTCCCAACCCCAACGAGACCCCAAGTCACTGCCCACGAACAGCTTCTCTGGCTCCTGATCAAGCTGCTTAACATCCATGATCCCAGAGACTTAGAAACAAATCTCAGAACCCAGCAGCTTTTGGCAGAAATGCGTCTGGACCCGCAGT